TCATATGTTCTCCCTGATCAGTGACAACTAACCAACCACAAAAAAGGAAACCTGTTGAAGTGAAATGGACACTATGAGAAACAGTAATTTGATCAGCCCTTGTCCTGACTGTTGATGAACAACTTAATGCTTTATCCCTTTTAGTATTTTTTTTGTTCTACTTAGTACTCTTGGTTGAATTCTGTAATTAGCACACAATTATTCTTAGGTGTTTAAATTTAACTGAAAAGTGATCCCTGTTAGGTATAAGAGTGTGAATAAGAGAATGAGGAGATATACAGTTTGGGACATGCTCAATCAGACTTGCCCAAAATGGTAGAGTTAGAAACGTGCCAGGAGATTCCAATTCAATCCCATCAAGGTGGCATGTACCAATGATCACCAAAGTGATCAGTTTCAGTTCATAATTGATCAGAATGATAGGATTAAGAGTCAAAGGGATCACATAACCAAGACTAGTGTCTGCTAATACTAACTGATAGAATTCAAAAGGAGAGAACAACCAACATGGGAAGCAGGATACACAGCAGACTCATAGAATGGCAGATGTCCTAAATAGCACTCTGGCCTCAGAATCCGCCCTTAAGGCATTCGGATATGGCTGAAGAGCCCATGAGAGTATTTCAGGCATGGAAAGCAAAGGCACTCTGGCAAAAAAAAAAAAAAAATCACAAAACCAAATAAAAGATCTGTGTGTGTGTGAGTGAAATCCCAGCGGAAAGAACGGGCAATCAAAGAAGGAGGTACCTTTCTCTGAAGGGAGGAGAGAGCTTCCACTTTGACTATGACCTTGTCTAAATAAGATAAGAGTTGGCAAACTCAACAGGCTTCCATAGCCTTGGCAACTCATGACCTATGGTGATTACTGACACCATAACCAAGAATGTCAATTGTTAAATTAACAACAGGAGTCACTGTGCACTTACTCCTCATGTAGGATCTCTATCCTTAATGTGTTGTACAATGTGAATTAATGCTATAACTAGTACTCTAACAGTACTCTATACTTTGTGTTTCTGTGTGTTTGCAAACTGTTGAAATCTTTAATTTATATATATTCAATGATCTTCTGTATATAAAGAGAATTGAAAATGAATCTTGATGTGAATGGAATGAGAGAGGGAGCGGGAGATGGGAGGGTTGCAGGTGGGAGGGAAGTTATGGGGGGGGGAATCCACTGTAATCCAAAAGCTATTCTTTGGAAATTTATATTTATTAAATAAAAGTTAAAAAAAATGAATGTGAAGGTGAAGAGATTAAGGAAATTCTGGAAATGGAATTCAAAGAATGAATCATTGGACTGCTCAAAAGCAATCAGAAGGAAATCCATGAGCTCAAAAAAACTATGTATGATATGAATGAGAAGTTTTCTCATGAAGTTGAGAACTTAAAGAGAAATCAAAATGAAATACTATAAATTAAGAATTCAATGGATCAAAGAAAAAATGCAGTGGAATGCCTTAAAAAGAGTTGGTGAGGCAGAATAAAGAATATATGAGCTAGAATACAGATCTCTGTAAATTTTACAGTGAGACCAAAAAGAAGAAGAAAAAAACAGAAAACTAAAATATAGTGTTGGAGATATATGGGTTACTATCAAACGACCAAGCATATGGGTCATAGGAGTGCCTGAAGGAGTGGAAAGAGTGAGGGGACTAGAAGGCCTACTTAGTGAAATAATTACAGAAAACTTCCCTAACTTGGAGAAAGAAAGGAATATCCAAGTACAGGAAGCACATAGTTGCCTATACCATGCATCTTATCTTATCCCTATGGATTGAAGCTTAAAACCAACAACTAAAGAATCTCAAGAACATGTGTAAACACATGGAGACTGAACAATATGCTCCTAAATGAACAGTTGGTCATAATTTCTGGAAATGAATGAAGATGAGAATAACTCATATCAAAACTTATGGGATACAGCAAAAGAAGTGTGAAGAGGGAAGTTTATAGCAATTAGTGCCTACATCAAGAAACTGGAAAGTCACCAGTTGAGTTGTCACCAAATGAGTTGTCAGTGCATCTCAAGGACCTAGATCAACAACAATCCAAACCCCAAATTAGTAGGAGGAAAGAAATAATTAAAATTAAGGAAGAAATAAACAAAATTCAAACCAAGAAAAGCAATAGAAAAGATCAATGAAATGAAGACCTGGTGTTTTGAAAAAATGAACAAAATAGACACACCATTGGCTCAACTAACCAAAAAAAAAAAAAAAAAAAAACAGAACACCCAAATTAACAAAATTGGAAATGAAAAAGGAAATGTAACAACAGATACCACAGAAATAAAAAGAATCATCAGAAATTACTACAAAGTGGCATCCCAACAAATCAGGAAGCCTAGAAGAAATGGAGAGATTTTCAGACACATACAATCTACTGAAAAATTGATCTCTGTAAAAAATAAGAATGGGAAAGGAAGAGGGAGGAGGAAAAAAGATGGGAGTATAGATTGGTGGGTGGGAGGGAGGGTAAGGGGAAAAGAATCATCATGTTCCCAAATCTGTATATATTAAATGCATGAAGTTGTATTCCTTAAAATTAAAAAAAAGTCATTGTAAAAAAGCTAGACTTTTCATAGTGTTTTATTTTTGAGCTGTCTTATTTACATTGATATAAGCTTATGCTGTTCTTATAGAATGATATGAGAAGATATTCATGCTGTCTATGCTCTGAAAGAGTTTGTATAACAGGAAGTAGGCAGTGGGTGAAGTTGCCACTTGGGGTTCCCACATCCCATTTGGAGTGCTGGTTCAATTCCCAGCCACTCTGCTCCCAATCCAGCTTCCTACCAAGTATCCTGGGAGGCAATAGATGATGGCTCAGACACCTGGGCCTGGGCCACTTTCTCCCATGTGGGAGATCCAGGAGTAGTCCCAGGCTCCTGGGTTTGGCCTGTCTCAGTCCTGTTTAGGGTATTTGAAAAGTGATGCAATGGATGAAAGAGCTCTCTCTCTCTCTCATTTTTTCTATCTCCTGTTTTCTCTCTCTCTCATTCTGTCTCTCTCTCCATCTCTGCTGAGGTGTCTTTCAAGTAGATGGAGATAGAAAAATAAGCATTTAATAGAAACCCTGGGGACTAGAGCCCATTTTCAGGGTAGAGTGATGAAAGGGAGGGGGTATGGGTCTTCTAACAGTTCTGCTTTCCTGATGACAGCAAAGAGATAATTGGAGGTGGAGCATGATGGGAATTCACCTTGGCCCATGAGGATCTGTGTGTTGAGTGTGGTGGAGCAATGACGGAGGCAGCCTGATGATCGGGGAGCCAGCACAGCCCTGAATAGTTGATCTTTATGAGAGAACAGTTTTTCATGGTTAACTAATCTCACCTGATACAGACACAATGGAAATTACTTTCTACTCCAGTTCTGGGAGGAGTACTTACCACATATCTGCCTCCATCTCCCTCCCCAACAATTGCCATTAGACCATCTGATTAAATTTCACTGGGCTTCCTGCCACAGTCCACCTAGCTGCCTCCAGGGCCTCAGAATGACCTAGCCCTGGAACTGGCTCGTGCCTTACACGACGTACAAGGCCATTTTGTAAGGCACAGAGAGATTCAGTCATTATCAAGGAGGATTTGTCACTGGTCCCCTGTGACTGTTGTAAAGTCATTTTGAGGAGGTGGAGGTCTGAAGACAGTACTTTGTCTCTTCAGGCTCTAGGGTGTATTTCTATTGTGATGATAATTTGTCTGAACTGCCGTTCTGAGGGCAAAATGGTGGCCGTGCCTTATTCTTCATGAAGTCGTATTGCTCTGGTGCTGTCTGGCTGCTTGGCCTGGTCCTGACCCCAGCTTTTCCCAGTCTTCTGATCCCCAAGACTTATTATTTTCTCCTTGCTGGTTCCCCCTGCAGCACAGATACTCAGCTGTGGTCCATGTATCCTAAGGCATTCATTGTCTTGGGGAGGGGGAGGCTGTGGAATGTGGACTTTTATGGATATCTGCATGCATTCATTTCTTTTTTTTTTCAGGTAAACAACCTCATATTTCATTAAATTCTCAAAGGGATTTTATAACCATGAAAAGTTAAAATTTTTCAGTATGTTAACTCTTCATGGGACTGGTATTGTGGCACAGTGGATTAAGCTGTTGCCTGTGACATGGGCATACATATTAGTGACAGTTTGAGTGCTGCCTGCACCACTTCCAGTCCAGCTCCCTGCTGATATGCCTGGGATAAGAGCAGAAGATGACCCAAGTACTTGGGCCCCTGTACCCATGTGGGAGACCCTGATTAAGTTCCTGGCTCCTGGCTTCTGCCTAGCCTAGCACCAGCCATTGTAGCCATTTGGGAAGTGAGCTGGCAAATGGAAGATACAACTCTCTCTCTGCCTTTACCTCTCTCCTTTCAAATAAACAAATAAATCTTTTAAAAAAATTCATTAGGCCAAACACCTAGAGAGCTGTAAACATGGACCATATTATTTGACATCATATAGCCTGCTTTAATCAAATTGCTTTTGGATAATATACCATCTGTTTATACTGAAGAATGTTACAATGAATAGCTATATGAAACATGCTATTGTATTTATTATAAGCAAATTCATTGTTCCCACATCACACATTGACCTTCCCAAGAGGACCCATGGGAGAAATCTTGTGTAGATCTCAATACCAAGAAGACTAACAGCCCTATTTGTCCTTGGTAATGGATATACTCTTTTTATGCCCCTATGACTTTGGCAATTTTAAATCTCTCATTTTAATGGAAGAAATTCAACCAAGATTTGTGGCTCATCTCTGTTGCCTATGATTTTATCTTATTTTTTTCCAATTTATAATCTCATTTTAATCTTTTTTGTCTCTACTGAAAAACTGCCTTCAATTCTGTTTTAGAAGGATTTATGATAAAAATACCTAATCACAATTTGTTTGAATGACTCATAATTACCATGTATAAGACAGATTATTGTGTAAGACAGATTATTGTGTAAACTCTTGCCTGTACCCAAACATGAAAAATATCTTTCTCATCCATTTGCAGGAATGTTTGGAGTCATGGTGATCCAGGATGATGTCATACTGTAAGTATCTGGGGTCTGCCTACTCGGGGTCCAAAGTGGGAATTTAATCCAGTGGATCTGGAAAAGATGATGAGATATAAGCAGATGGAACTAAGGGACCAAAGCCTAGGGAGAGTGATTTGGTCTGGAGATGCATGGTGAAGATGGTAGAGTTTATACAAAAGGTGGCAGTGCTAGCAGGCAGCATGAGGTTCCTAGGGAGTGCCTAGGGATACAGGTAAGCAAAAGACCCTGGGATTGACCCCATAAGCCTGGAAAACCTCCCTGAGAAGAGAAAAGAGGCTGAAAAGAATGTGAAGATAAGGCATGTGAGAAAACCAGGGTAGAAACCAGGCTTCTAGAGGCAAATGTTCATAGTATCAGAAAAACAAAAAAGCATATATTTATCAATGGCTATAAAAGGAATCTTGAATGTAAGTCTGACAATAAGAGGGAGCAGCCTCTAGATGACAAGGTGTGGGGAGGGAACAGGTAATGTCTGATCTAGTCAATGCCAGTGTAAAATGGGGTTGAAATTAGACTGAACACAGAGGGGGAAGCAGAGTCAGAGGAAGATTCTCTCTCTCTCTCCCTCTCCTTTCACCAATGGCAGGGAGAAATACTGATTAAACAAATAAGCTTTACTGGAGAAACAAGATTCTGAAGTTTGGAATGAGAGTGAAAAGGTAGAAAATGGCCAGAGAGTCCAGGAAGATGAGATATTTTTTCCAACAATTTATTTATTTGAAAGGAAGAGGCAGAGAGAGAAAGAGGGAGAGAGAGAGAGAGAGAAAGAGAGAGAGATCAATCTTCTATCTTTTGATTTTCTCCCTAAATATCCACAATGGTGAGATCTGTACTAAGCCAAAACCAGGAACCTGGAATTCCATACAGGTCTCTCACATGGGTAAAGGGGGCCCAAATGTTAGGGTACCATCCTCTGCTGCTTTCCCAGGCACATTAGCAGGGAGCTGGATAGGAAGTGAGGCAGCCAGGATTCTAACTCGCACTCTGGTATGGGATTCCAGTGTTGAAGGCAGCAGCTTAACTCGCTGTGCCACATACCAGTCCCAGAAGATCAGTTCTTGAAGAGGAGGTGTTGTACCCTCTGCACTAATACCTGAGGGGGCCAGCACTGTGGCGTAGTGGGCTAAGCCTCTGCCTGTGGTGCTGTCATCCTACTTGGTCACCAGTTCGAGTACTGGCAGCTCCCTCTTCCAATCCAGCTATCCACTATGGCCTGGGAAAGCAATGGAAAATTTCTCAAGTGCTTGAGCCTCTGCACCTGTTTGAGAGACGTGGAAGAAGCTCCTGACTCCTGGCTTCAGATCAGCTCAGATCAGCTCCCGCCATTGCAGCCATTTGGGGAATGAACCAATGGATGAAAGACCTCTCTCTGTGTCTCTCCCTTTCTTTGTCTGCAACTCTACCTCTCAAATAAATAAATAAAATCTTTAATAAAATAATACATGAGAAGGGATGGAGGGAGAGAGAGAAATAATCTAGTATGGATAGCATGGAATGTACAAGTGGTAGCCTAATATGTTCAGGAAAGAAGTAATGGAAAGATTTTACATAATCTGCATAAAAAATGGAGGGGCAGGGGTTAGTTTTGATATGACCAGTCAGTAGGGAGTGAGAGGAATCAATATAGGAGTAACCAAGAACAAAAACAGCACAAACCAACACACATACACACAAAGTGGGGAAAAGAGAAGTCAGTTCAATAGTTCCAGAAGCTTCCAGGACCACTGACTATGTTTAGACCATTTCTTGGCACAGAATCAGAGAATTTTGTTCCCTCTTCCTTGGGGAACTCCCACTTAATGAGAGAACAGCTGCATGGACTAACTGAAAGGAAATGAAAGTAAAATATTAGCATAATAACATGATGATTTTCAACAATGTTTATTGTAGGATAAGGGCAACTTGAATTGGGGGCTGTGAAGATTCAGGTTTCTAATGACCACATGGAATTGCTTAGGTGGAAAATCATCAAAAAAGACAAAATGTACTGAGGCATCCCCAAAGCTTTGACCCAAAAGGAAGTGGGAGACCTGACTCTGCTCACATGATATCAGAAAGTTTTGATCTTTGCAGATGTATATATCTTCCCCAGCATGTGCTAAGGCACCAGACTCTACATCCTGGCATGTATGTGTTGAGATCTACAGTTTTCATTAAAGTGGAATATTCCCACCCCATGCATAATCGTCAGCCTCTTCCTCTCCCAGGAATTGCTCTGTTCTTGTCCCTTTCCTCCCTCTCTTACTGACAAGTGGTACTTGATGGGTCATCCTTAGTTATCCAATCCCTTACAAGACAGTTTGCTTCCCTGACTGCACCAACAGAAATTCTTGGCAAGCAACTGATAGAATCTCCATTTATAGTCTTTGCCATTAAGACCTATTTGAAATCTGCAAGATTTCAAGCACATGTTTTCAAGCACATTTGGATTGGGGTTTTCTGGGATGCAGCTCTAAACAAGCCTGATAAATTCTCTTGTTTCTTAATTTCTCTCTCAGTTTCTCTTAAGTGTCTACACAAGGGTAGCATTGCTCTTGGTGGAACATGATAACCAGTCAAGGAAGAGAGGTATAGGATTAAGGGCAAGCACTGCTCCTATATGGAGAAAGTGTCCAACGGAGAAGTCACACCTCCAAGGGACCATCAAGATAGAGATCTTTTAAGTGTTAGGAGGCACTGAGGGTAAGCCCTGCTGGTGGCTGGCTGAGGTACTGTGAGAGGAAATGGATGAGCTAGAAGAGTTGTGAAGATGTAATAAAGGCTTGCACGTGTCATAATGTGAACTCAAAAAATGGGAGGTATATCAGCTTGGAGAGAGGTTGGCTCCCCACAAATCTGAGAGAGACTAGGGCATGGAAGGTGCCATTCACCCATGAATGTCTCTAGATGCGGTAGTTCTGATTCTAATACCGGCATTGACATCAGTTCATCTTCTTGAGATACACTATTGTTTCAGAGCTACCTTGCCATGAAGATTCATTATCTTGTCTTAGCTCTTCTGTTCTTTGGCTTGCTGTCTATTGCAGGTAAGGATTTTTTTTACTAACAGGGAGGGATTGAAGCAAATGAGAAGATTTAGATTATAGGAGCCACACAGAAAACTGTGGACAAGGTTTCTTAGTAGATGCTCAATGAACATTTGTTGGGTGAGTTTGTTGAGTAAATGAATTTGCTTTACAAATGACTTGTTGAGAATATAATCGAATATGGAGAATTTCAGGATTCTCTTTTTATTCTACACAAAATTTCTCATCTCAGCTATAGGGTAGAATCTCAGATTTTTCCAAGAAAGGGAACTTGAAGATGATCTTCTCTGTTCCCTCATTTTACAAGTAATGATTTTGAGACCTTGAGTCCAGATCTAAACTTCAGTGTATCATGCAAATATTATTTCTACTCTCAAGTTTCTCTGTCTAGCATAAGTAAGGTGCAAATAGTATCTACTTCATTGAATTTTATGGAGAACCTTAAATGTCTTAATTCATGTAAAGGGTTTTTTAAAAGTACCTAACAAACTAAGTGCTCAAGAAATAGTAACTCTTATAATTAACATTATTACTAATTTACTTTCTTAGTTTATTCCCTGGAGTGATTGCTCTTTTCGGTTCGGAATATCCTCAAGCAGAAATGGGCCTGGGGAAACAAAACCCAACATGCTATGAAGTTCCAGGACTTTATCATTAAAACGTCAGATGACTTTCAAATAACAATGAAACTAAATAAGCTTAATAAAAGAAAAAAAACCCTAAAACTTCAGGTGCCCATGAACTGACAGGGCCTGATAAGGTTAAGAACAGATAAGAAGGGATGAGGGAGAGCAATGATGCCGGGAAAACGATAACCTTGCTGTTATTGAAGGGAGGAGAGGGAGGAGTCGATGGTGGCACGGGAGGGGTTAGGCTGAGTGATTTAGAAAGTTGTGGTGCTATGAATAGAAAAGTGAAGCCAAAGAAAAGAAGGAGATTTGAAAGGGAAGCCACTGAGAGCTTTAGAAGGGTGCTTCAAAGGGACAGACATCCAAGTGGAAATAATCTGGTGGAGATTTGAGAGTAGGAGAAAGCTGTGGCTGGAGACCCACTGCAGGACCTTCTAATGAAGTGTGACAATTGAAGCTTTGTGAGCAGACTACAAATCTGGCCACTGTCCCTCTCTCCTTCCTCTTCGTCTCTGGTATGTTACATTCTGGGCACTGTGTGCTGGTATAGCACCATTATCTTTTCTCCCTCTCTATTCCTTCTTCCCTTTATCTTCTTACTCTTTGTCTATTTTGTTTCTTATTCCTGGACATATAAGGAAGCTTATACATTGCACATAAGGCTTTTATTTAAAAAAAAAAAAAAGCTAACAGTAAAGGAATTCAGGGCTAGGAAAAAATCAGTTTAGAGAACAGTAATCTGGAATCTACCACAATGGCTCCTGGGTGAGGTGGCTGAGAGTGGGGCAGAGGAGGTACTTGACATGGAGCAGTGCGAGTGACCACCTGAGAAACTGCACTTGAACTTTGTGTACCTGTGGCCCTTACCTGCCTGCAATGGCAGGACATCCTGCATTGACATTTCTCCTAGAATTGTCCACAATGCTAGACTTACTCAGTCCAAAGGGAGGTCAATTAGTCTTCTACACCAAGTCAGGTGTACTTGCAGTCTCTTCTAAATGTAATTTAAAGCCTGATCAAATGGGACCTTCCCACCAATATTTCGCCACCAAGCTTTATGTTTGAAATTCTGACTAGGACCTTGTGAATATACTCACAAATAAATGTATTTTTTTTGTTTACATGTCTTTATTTTTAGGAACTGTAGATGCTCATGAAGTCACTAGTGTCCCGGAGTGCAAAAACCAAACATTGTGTATTTATCGAAATGAAACTGGACACTGTTCTGACTCGAAGGAGGTCGAAGTTTGTGTCTTGCATCTTAGAAAAAAAAACAAACCAACAAACCTTAAAGAAATAGAAAATTAGGAAGACAGGATGACCAACTCCTTTGTCTTATTAATAAAATAAAATCTTCCTTCTCCTCTCTCTACTTCTCTTGTGGTACATTTATTTATTAACCAACAGTTCAGGCTTTTGATGCTCAGAATAAATCGCCATGAGAATGAACACACCTTCCTTAGGGCAGAGAACTGCAGATTTGAGAAACCTAAAGAAGACTCACTCTGCATGGGGAGTAGGGGTGAATTTTGGGGAGTGTGATGTAGGGGAGAGGAGGATCTGGAGGAAACTGTATCCTACAGGGATGGAAACAAAAGCATATGGAAATAGAGGTGATTTCTCTGGAAACCACCAGCAGTCTTGCCTCTTACTTTGTACTTTTGGTTTAAATCCTTGGTTACAATATGTTCATGTTTGCCTCACAATTTGTGATTCTTTTCCCTGACTTCACAATAAATACCCTCCTACTCCCCAGACCAGACCTGGTAAAGAAGGAATGGGATTCTTGGGGCCTGGACTCCTGTCCATTGTCCAGTGCCTGTGATGGGCATAACACTGGCAGCCTAGTGCTTTCTCCTCCAAGGCTTCCCCAGGCATCTACCCCAGTTCCCTCTGAAACTACTCACCTGGAATTTTAGTACAATGCGTGATTGAACAACTCTAATTTAAGTAGAAAAGACTGTGAATATGTGCAGAAGTACCCGCATTTTTAAATTGGAAGTTTTATTGCTAGCAGGTGAATTTCAGACTATGTTGTGACTACAGGGTACAAGGTCAGGCAAATAATGGGTCCATCAGTCAGGATTCTGGAGGGTAACCATGAGACACTGGAGGAAGTTCACCAGGTTGGTCAGGGTGGCAGGGCTGTGGCAAAAATCTCGGACTGGGGAAGCACCCGGACAAGAGCAAGGCAGGGAACGCTAGTAGGTTGGCTGTAACAAATGCCTCCACCTGAAAGCAGGCACATGGGCTGGGAGAGGCCCTGGCACCCCGTGAGGGAGACACACAGAAGGCCAAAAGTCCTGGTTTGTCCTTTGAAGGAAGGTGCAGCAGTGAGGCTTAGCAACGTTGGCACAGATGTGCTCAGAGAGTTCACTGATATTAAGAATTCAGTGTGGCAGCTGAGGCCTTGCCTTTGGCCTGCCGCCCCTTCCCTAGGTCCTGCCCTGTGCAGGTGAGCTGCACCTGGCTCCTCTATGATGCTGACGAAGGCGAGGAAGCAGCAGGAAGAGGATGAGGCAGTGCTGCTCCCACTCCTACTGTGGCTGTCTCACCCCAGCCAAAAGACTTTCCTCACTCCAAGGCCCAAACCCAAGGAAGCAGAGGTTCTGGTCCAGCAGGTCACAGGCTGTAGGTGGTGGACACAGTGAAGGTGGGCCCGGTGCAGCCAAACTGCCATGCAGCATCTCCGAGTCTTCTGGATGAAGGTGAGCTGCACAGGGACACCCAGTGCCCCGCTGGCTGGAAAGGCCGTTCTGGGGTCCCCAAAGCCCTCCCTTACTTGGACTGTAGATAGCACAGCCCAGTCCCTGTTCCCAATGTCCCATGTGCTTTGAGTTTATTCAAACAAGTAAAACGTACCATTCCAGCTTCTCGAGGCTGTCATTGTGTCATTTCCTATTTCTATACCTGATGCCCCTTCCCACAGCCCTCAGGACTGCTTAGACCCAGTTTCCAATCCAAAATCTCCCACCAGACAAATGAGAGTGATTCTTTGGCTTGTCTATTTGTGGAAGGGACGAGGGGAGAGGCCTGTGTTTTATATGCAGTCTCACATGTTTACTGGGGTGTGTTTCCAAACAGAAAATTCAGTAAGAACCAGAACCATGCTACAACAATCAGGCCAAGTACGGATCCCAATATTTTCAGTGCCTAACCAATTGTGCATGTAAGGTAGCTACTACTAGGATCACCTGTGTACAGGTGAAGAAACTGAGGCACCTGAGAGGTTAAATAACTTTCTTGGGATCATGCAAAAGGGTGAGCTTGGGATTTATAACTCAAACAATCCATCTCTAGAGTCCAGGCCCTTACCCACTCTTCCAAGAATAACAACTTGAAACAAATGTTTATAAATTGAAACAAATTAATTTTGTTGAATATTTCCTTTGCAGTGCAGAAATTAAATAGTTTGATGTAATCCCATTTGTCAATCTTGGTTTTATTGTCTGTGCTTCTGGGGTCTTTTTCTTTTTTTTATGGTCTGTAATTTTTTTAAACTTTTATTTAGTAAATATAAATTTCCAAAGTATAGTTTATGGATTACAATGGCTTTTTCCCCCCCATAACTTCCCTCCCACTCGCAACCCTCCCATCTCCCACTCCCTCTCCCATTCCATTCACATCAAGATTCATTTTCAATTATCTTTATATACAGGAGATCAATTTAGTATATATTAAGTAAAGCTTTCAACAGTTTGTACCCACGTAGAACATAAAATATAAAATACTGTTTGAGTATTAGTTATAGCATTAATTCACATTGAACAACACATTAAGGACAGAGATCCTACATGAGGAATAAGTGCACAGTGACTCCTGTTGTTGACTTAACAATTTGACACTCTTGTTTATGGCGTCAGAGATCTCCCTAGGCTCTTATCATGAGTTTCCAAGGCTGTGGAAGCCTTTTGAGTTCGCTGACTTCGGTATTATTTCGACAAGGTCATAGTCAAAGTGGAGGTTCACTCCTCCCTTCAGAGAAAGATACCTCCTTCTTTGATAGCCCATTCTTTCTATTGGGATTTCGCTCACAGAGATCTTTCATTTAGGGTTTTTTTTTTCTGCCAGAGTGTCTTGGCTTTCCATGCCTAAATACTCTCATGGGCTCTTCAGCCAGATCTGAATGCCTTAAGGGCTGGGTCTTTTTCAAGAGGTCTTTGTTTATGCCTGTGTCTTGTAGAATTTCCCTGATGTTTTCCTCTAGTAATTTGATGGTATCAATTAATAGATTTAGATCCTTGATCCATTGTGAGTGGATTTTTGTATAAACTGTAAGGCAGAGGTCTTGTTTCATGCTTCTGCATGCACATAACCAATTTTCCCTGCATGATTTGTTGAAGAGGCTGTGCTTTCTCCAGGGATTGATTTTTTAGCTTGTTTGTCAGAGATTGTTTTGTTGTAGATGCATAAATTGATTTATGTTGCTTTTATTTGGTTCCATTGGTTTACCTGTCTATTTTTGTGTCAGTACCGGGCTTTTTTATTATAACTGCTTGTAGTATGTCTTCAAATCTGGCATTGTGATGCCTCTGGCTTTGTTTTTGCTATTTAAGATTGCTTTAGCTATTCTGGGTTTCTTGTGTTTTCATATGAATCTTAGAATAATTTTTTTCTAGATCTGAGAAGAATATCCTAGGTATTTTGATGTGATCACATTGGATCTGTAAATTGTGTTTGGTAGTATGGACTTTTTGATGATATTGATTTTTTTTTCCCATCTATGAACATGGAAGATTTTTCTAATTTTTTTGTGTCTCCTTCTATTTGTTTGTTAATGTTTTGTAATTTTCATTGTAAACATCTTTCATACCCTTGGTTAAATTTATTCCAAGGTATTTAAAATTTTTTGTAGCCATTATGAATGGGAATAATTTTACAAGCTCTTTCTCAGTCATGCCATTATTTGCATATAGAAAGGTTATTGATTTTTTTTCAACTTTTATTTAATAAATATACATTTCCAAAGTAAAACTTTCAAATTATAGCAGCTTTTCCTCCCCATAACCTCCCTCCCACCTGCAACCATCCCATCTCCCACTCCTGCCCCCATCCCATTCTTCATCACGATTCATTTTCAATTATATACAGAAGATCAACTTAGTATACTAAGTAAAGATTTCAACAGACTGCACCCACAAAGACACACAAAGCATAGAGTACTGTTTAGGTAGTATTTTTACCGTTAATTTGCATAGTACAACACATTAAGGACAGAGGTCCTACATGGGGAGCAGGTGCACAGTGACTCCTGTTGTTGATTTAACAATTGACACTCTTGTACTGCCTTCTTTGATGGCTCGTTCTTTCTGCTGGGATCTCACTCACAGAGATCTTTCATTTCGGTCATTTTTTTTTTGCCAGAGTGTCTTGGCTTTCCATGCCTGAGAAACTATCATGGGCTTTTTAGCCAGATCCAAATGACTTAAAGGATGGTTCTGAGGTCACAGTGCTGTTTAGGGCATTTGCCATTCTATGAGTCTGCTGTGTATCCTACTTCCCATATAGGATCATTCTCTCCTTTTTAATTCTGGTTATTGATTTTTTTGTGTTGATTATATATCCTGCCACTTTGTCAAACTCTTATGCGATTCAATAGTGTCCTAGTGGAGTCTTTTGTTTCCCCTATATATAGGCCCCTTTCATCTATAAACAAGGATAATTTCACTTTCTCCTTTTCAATTTGTATTCCTTTGATTTATTTTTCTTGCCTAATGGTTCTAACTATACTTTCCAGAACTATAGTAAATAGCAGTGGTGAAAGAGGACATACTTATCTGGTTCTAGATCTTAGTGGAAATGTTTCCAACTTTTCCCCATTAAGTACTGTGCTGTCTGTGGGTTTGTCATATATTATCTTGATTCTGTTGAGGAATGTTCCTTCTGTACCCAATTTGTTTAAGGTCTTTAACAGGAAAGGATATGTATTTATCCTGCATATTTTGAGATAATCATATTGTTTTTGTTCTTTAATTTATTAATATTATGTATCACATTTATTGATTTGTATATGTTGAATCATCCCTGTATATCAAGGACTATTCCCACTTGGTCCAAGTGAATGATCTTTCTAATGTGTTGTTGGATGTGTTAGTATTTTGTTGAGGAGTTTTACATCTATGTTATCAGGGATATTTGACTATATTTCTCTTTCTTTGTTGTATCTTTTTCTGGTTTTGGAATTAATGTGATTCTGGCTCATAGAAGGAGTTTGGGAGGATTCCAAACCTTTTTGTTTTGAATATTTTAAGCAGAATTGGAATTGGTTCTTGTTTAAAAGTTTGGTAGAATTCAGCTGTGAAGCCATCTGGCCATGAGCTTTTCTTTGTTAGGAGGGTCTTCGTTACTAATTCAATCTCTATCTTGGTTATT